CTGATACCATCATAGCAGATCAAATTCAACATTAGCAGTATCTGGGCAGTTATCTTTTGTCTCCAGAAGTAAATTTTCTGAGAACATGCTTATTATAGCATGAACAATCTTGCCATAAATGTTGAACCTGAATCTCATCATGAAGAAACAAAAAAATGCAAATTTTGAAATATTCTATACAATGACTAATTTGGATTCTTAAATAATGTACAATGATATGAAAAAAAAGAGCACAGGAAATGTTTTAGGTACAATTACATTCAATGTGTGATTACTGATTTGATCCTTTAAAATTTTTTTAAAAAATCATTAACAGGAGGGTAGACAAGAGAGACAGACAATGGCTGAGGGCGGGGATTTGGGTCACAGCTCCCATATTGTGGCTAACAACCATCTGTAACCCTAGTTCCAGAGGGTCCGCCCTCTTCTGGCCTCTGATGGGACTACATGCATGAATTGTACATACGTATATGCAGGCAAAACTCATACACATAAAATAAAAATAAAATAAAAAAAAAAAAGCTGAGTACAGTGGCACATACCTTTACTTCCTGCACTGGGGAGGAAGACGCAGGTCCATCACTGAGTTCGGGGCCAACCTGTTCTACTAACCCAGGACAGACAGGACTGTACAGAGAAACCCTGTCATGAAAATCAAACTAAACCAAAACACATAAAACAAGGGAGTCTGAGGTCTAATAGAAGTGTGAATTATTAGAGTATCTAAATTCTACTCTTAAAAAAACACCCCTAGTAAGAATAACACTGCATCAGTGTGGTGGTGTGTTCCTGTAATCCCAGCACTTGGGCGGGAAGGATCATGACTTTAAGGCCAGCCCGGGCTACTTAGGAGGACCCCTTTTCACTCCTCCATCCCACCTCCCAAAAAACAATATTAGGCAAAGAAAACAACACTGAGTGAACACATTAATTTGCTCTTATTGTAACACTGCTATTATAATGCATAGAGACTAGCATGTTGGGTTCTGAAATGTTTAGCTTATTTAACAACGAAATCATATCTACACCCAAGGGGTTAGTTAATTAATAAAACATGAAACTCATTTCACTTAACTGAGTCTCCATTGTCAAATAGTCCATCTTTTATGAGAAAACTTGGGAGGAAATTCTGGTGAACTATAAAAATATCTGTGACTTTTAGATTAAGAGAAAAATGTACTATTCCAATACACTGTTACCAAATAACATTAATACACTTTGCTTTCAAAATCAGCATTGCACTGCGCCCTCTTGACTAGACTGAATGGATAAGACACACCTAGGAAATCTGAATATATCTCTGAGGGCATTTCAAGATGATTACTTCATGAAGGCTCTATCATAATCATGATGGCATTCTTGGGAGGTGGAGAAAGGCAGGAGATGGAGCCTAGCCTTGTACTTCTTTTTGCTTCTTGGTTGTCATTATATGAAGTGCTTGCTCTGCTCTGCTGTTGCCATCATGATGATCAACACCCACAATTTCTTTCTAAAACCACGAGCCAAAATAGGTCCTTCCTCCCTTAACCTGGTTCTTCATCTGGTCAGAGGAATAAGGACCACTGCAGTTTTATGACTTAAACTCACTTAGACAGAAATTTATCTCCAAAGAGATCTACTCTGTACTAATTATATGATGGCATTCTTCAGTGTTTAAGACTTTTTGCAAGATTATATCTTAAATTATTTAGGAAAAACACAATTATGTTTTTTAGTGCATTGACTCCTAAAATTAAAAAAAAAAAATTAGCCAGGCGAGGTGTTACACACTTGTAATCCCAGCACTCTGGAAGGCAAAGACAGGTAGATCTCAGCCTGGTCTACAAAGCGAGTCCAGGATAGCCAGGGCTACACAGAGAAACCCTGTCTCAAAAACAAACAAACAAACAAACAAAAAAAAAAAAAAAGGAAAGGAAAAAATCATTTTATAAGTACCTTGGGCATTCAGTGTAAAGTTTAGGTGAGCAATAACAATGTTGTGAGTGATTATTCAAGCAGTGCCCCAACCTAAGCTGTGAACGAGCCTGTTACCAACACTGAGAGTACAGCCTCTCCCCTTCCATGCACTTACAGTTTAGCTGAAGAGCTACCACCTAACTTACTACAAATTAAGTGCAAAAACTTTTTAAAAGGAAAAAAAAAATCCAAATGTCAATAATGAAATTGACACTGTCTGGAAATTAAGTGTTATACGGTAGAACAAAATTGCTTGAAAGCACAGGATATTGAGTGAAAAGAGGGCCTGGCACTTGGTGTGATTTTCTTGTCTTTCAAACGTAGAGTGTATTATAATTTTCTTTTATAAAATCAAAAATATATGCAATAGTGTAAATCACCAAAAACAGACCCTACCTGTAGTGTACCTGACCTTCACATCTTTATAATTTTCTATTTAGCATACTATCTCAACATGTGTATAATCAGAGCACGTTCAAAGAAATGACTAACAATTAACAAAGCAGCGTGCACAAAGCACCAAACTGTCTTGTTAATTCTTTGAGATCAACTTTATAGTTTATCAGTGGTGAGCAAACATTCTAATCACTTAATCTTTACTTTCCTCACGTTAGAAACATGTAGAAAACCTTTATAAAGCTCACCAAATTGGTGTCTGAGTGCAGCTACTTGGTTTGAATTTGGGTTCAGTCTCCACTGAAGGGTCAGGTGTTAATATAATCGGTCTGCTCTTGTGTTACTTGGTCATTTTCTTTATAACGTTAACAGTCTTTGTTCTGTCTGTCTAACGTTTTGATTATTATGTGTTACGGGAATTTCTTTCTGCTCCAGTCTATTTGGTGTTCCCTGTGCTTCTTGTGCCTTGACAGGTACCTCTTCCTTTAGGCTAGGGGAACTTTCTTCTAAGATCATGTTGTAAATATGTTCTGTGCATTACCTGGGCTTCTTCTCTTTCTGTTTCTATTATTTGTAGATTTTATCTTTTCATAGTGTTTCAGATTTCCTGGATGTAGTGTGCCTCGATTTTCCTGAATTTAATATTTTCTTTGATGGAGTTATCCAATTTTCTCTTCTCTTCAATGCCCAACCATGTTTACTGCTGCTCTATTCATAATAGTCAGAAATTGGAAACAGCCTAGATATTCGTGAATAGATGTATGGATTAAAGAAAAAAAGAATAAGAAGTGATATGTTTACATAATGGAGTATTACTAAGCTATTAAAAAAATTACACCATGAGATTTGTAGGTAAATGGATGGAACTAGAAAAAAAAATCATTCCAAGTAAGGTGATCCAGAAAGACAAATACAGTATGTATTCACTTCTATGTGGATGGTAGCTGTTATGTCTTTGATAAGCAAGCTACAATAAACTTGATAAGCTTGCTTTGATAAGCAAGCCACAGAGGTTAGGTAGAGAATAAAGGATTAAGTGGGAAGGATGGATCACCCTAGGAAGGTGAAGTAAAAATACTTACAGATGCATGAGGTAGAGACTGGAAAGAGATGATCTAACAGGGAGGTGAAGGCAAGAGGTGGGCAAGGGAGCCAGTATAGGCAGGGACAGCTAAAATACAGACCATTTGAGTGGCTGATGTAAAATAAAATATATGTTTATTTAAAGGCAATCTAAGGGAAATTGCCTTCTCACTGGGCCATATTCCCGGCTTCTTTTGAGTTAGCAATGTTCCTTAGGCATCTCTTCTAAAAATTCATCCACATGTATCTTGATTTTACTTTGTGTGTGCAAGTGCTTGGGTGGGTGTGGCACACCGCTAGTGAAGGGCCTTCTTTCCACCTGGGCCCCAAGGATCAACTGAACTCAGGTCATCAGGCTTGGCAACAGATACCTTTACCTGCTCAGTCATCTCTCCCAGCCCAGATATACCCTGTTCATTTTAATAGTTTCAGAATTCTCCATTCACCTTCACCTTTTCTCACTAGACATTCCTTCTGTTTCTACTTACTAGTTCTTAGAAACAATTTTGCAGAGAAAATATCTATGTATATCTCTGTGTTCATCTTTGGATGCTTAATTAGCGATAGAATGAATTTTTAGAGACACAGAATTTTTAGAATGAAATAGAGTATGCATTTACATGTTTCTAAAGGATTGCCAATATGCTCCTCAAAACAAAATTGTAATCTCTGATGCACTTTTTTGAGCTAGAGCAATGTGTTACCAGTGTTTACAAGCAATAATGGTGAAAATGTAAACTTACATACTGAAGAACATATAATCTAAAGGAATAATCTGCTATTGTTAAAACACATTTCTCTGTAGCTACCGTATACATGGTGCATAGGTTTGAAACAGGTAACGCCAAAATCACCTTTAGCATCTGGGACCACTGTCATCCTGAGCCCATTATTTAATCCTTTTTAGGTCTTGATTTGTGTCTCTTCTTTGCAAAATGGGAAATCTAAGTGTCTCCCTGAGAGGACAATTACGCCAGTTGTTACCGATAGCATTTTCTAAGAGAGCCTGATGTAGGCCACACAGTTGATATAAAATGTTACTTACATTTTTAAAATACAGTAACAACACTAAAGGTCCCGAACATTTGCCTTTATTTTGTCTTGAATCTTCAGTTCCTAAGAACAAATGATCTCCACTTGGTACTTACAAACACCAGCTGTTATAAGGCAGACAGTGGTATAGACAAATCCATTTTCCTTCGTAAGTACTGAGAAAATACAAAGCTCTAATAAAAAAGGAGAACGTTCACCACAAGGGAGTTGAGTTGAGTGTTATCGGGTTGTGGCTTAATCATGTGCTTCTCTACCATGACAAAAGAATTTCTCAGATAGTAGTTTAGTAAGGATGGCTTGAAGTTTATACAGGATATTGACTTGGGAATAGCTATAAAAGGCAATCAGAAAACACCTAGGCTGCAGCTGATTCCAGGCATTCACTTTAGAAGACTCTAAGTGCTATGATTTCCTAGACGGATGAACACCTCGGATCTCTCTGTGCAGGAAATTGTAATGAGTTCAGGGTGAGACATCAAAAAACACTTAAAATAGAAATTGCCAAGTGTACCTGTAGTTTCAAGGTCACATTTATTAGGAGATTAAGAGGTGCATTATCCATGGACTATAAATAGTGCGCAGCTGACTTTAGTCACAGTCAAGTAGAAATGTAGCCAGCGCCGACCTATTTTGTAGACACTCTTGTTCTTTTGTTCCAAGAAAAATTTGCACCATAAGACTTGGACTTGGGTTTCGGAACCTTCTTCTCTTCCACGTCATAGCTCCATCCTAGATGGAAAAACAAAACCAAACCAAAACCCACAGGAGAAAAATTAATGAGGATACTTAAGAGACACAGCAAACAGAGGCTAACTTTTATAATTTCATGTCCATTTATTAACAGGAATAAATGTCAACACATCTGAAGTATAAGTTATTTAGTAATTTGTTTCCTCCCAATCCGGTGTGCAAACGTCCAAATGCTGCCTGAAGATGAGTTGTCATATTTCAAAATGAAGGTGTAATCTATGATTTAATTTCTCTTCACTTAAAATTTCTTGCTTAATTATGGTTATGCATTACATAGACTCAGACTTCTATAGGGTGGCTTCACATGTGACACCTTCAACCACTACAGAGAACACTCAATGGTATAACTCACCTCAGTGCTCTAAGATCTAGTGTCTGGAACACATCTGAGATAACAGAGCTCTCTCTACCCATTCCCCAGTCCTCTTCGGATTACCAAGTTCTGTGCCTTTACTAACCAAAGTAAAAAATGATTCTCAACATTTGTTCAATGGTTATGTTAAACACCATTCTTTTTTCTCAGGACTCTTTTTCAAATAACATCTCTAAGAATGTTTCTTGACCATCATGTATAAAATGTCCAAAATGCATATTATAGAGTCAAAACAAGTGCCTTCTTGATCAGACCAATTCTAAGGAATTCTAGTGTCTCTTCATGAGTAACAGTACTTGAGTAACGCTCAGGCCAGCAGGTCCTCAGTGGGAATTCAGTTATCAACTATGCCATAAAGCATGACCTCTGAAGCTCAAAGTATCCTGCTGTAATTGTCCAAGGAAGGAAAACAGTAGCCCCAAATGCAATTCTTCATGTTTTAAACTCCTCGATTCCCCACTACCTACTGTTAGCACTACATGTTCAAACAAAGCTCAATACCTATAAGGAAATGGGAAATCAGAAAGGCAAATTCAACATTAGACTGCTTTAACTGTCTGGGTTTTTGTTTTTTTTGTTTGTTTGTTTGTTTGTTTTCTTTTTTCCTTTTCTTTCATTTCTTTCTCTTTTTTGGGGGTGGACAAGTGCATACAATGTAATTGACAGTGAAAGTGTAAAATCTTAAGGGAAGCTCCATGGCTTCAAAAATGGCCTTTCTCACTGTAGAAAGTTCCCTGAGATGTCTAGAGTTTGGAATGTGGCAAATGTTTGAATGGATGCCTGAAGTTAGCTGTGTGATGTATGTGAGCTCATCACAATAAAGTGGTTAAGCAAAAACATTAAAAATACCCATTTAATTTATGTGCTCAACATTACTCTCAGAGTGAATGTTTTGAGTACTTCCCTACTCATTAGGAAAACACTACAGTTAAGAGAAGCCGATCTCACAAAATAAGTATATTAAATGGTTATTTCCATTTAAAAACATTTATAAAAAGACATTAGAAGAAACAGTACATATTTTGTAAGGCTGTCATGAGGAATGGGTCTACTCAGTATTCATGTAAATAAATTTCCATTATATTAAATCCACCATATCTGACTGTGTGATAAACTGGATATAATGAGCAATAACCTAGTTATTAATTATTGATTGGGGTTTTATTAGGTTAAGTTAATGAAGTATTCTATGCATGATCATTTAAATACTGCAAACTTCTCAGTTACTTTCCACGGCAAATGCTGATAATTGTAAAAACAAAATTTAATGAAGACTATACAACAGATATTTACTGAGCATTTACTATTCATTTAAATTACTGATAGTTTATTATGTGTGAAGGACTACTTTTAGAGATTGCAGGTAAATAAAGGAATAAAATAAAACAAAACAAAAATCCCCAAACTCATTAAAGCTGAGAATAAAAATGAATAAAGTATGCATAAATAATTGGGGTGCTGATCTATATACTGAAGGAATGAAGCTACATGTATGGTGTAGATAAATAAGCCCTCCTTCCCTGAAAGGTACAGTAAGGCCTAGAGGAGACCTGGGTGCAGCAGGTCCACATCTCTGAGGAAGGTCTCGGGTGAGGGAAGAGTAGCTATGCAGCCTCAGGCAAGAACACAACTGGCGCACTGAGCTCTGGGTTTGCGTCTTTAAGTTACCTGGCTTATAAGGCAGGCATTATATATCTTATATGTATTTCACATGATTGGTTATGATTTATTTCTATACAGACTAAAAATATGTATTTATAAAAGAAAAATAAAGCACTGAGAAAATAACCAAGCCTTAAGTTCTAGGGCTAAGGGGTCAAAGCCATTTTTAACATTGGTCGACTTTAAAGCCATAATACACTGTCCACCTCATACTATAAAACTGAGTTTCTTTAAATATATCTTATATTTACATTTTTATTTTAGCCACTTTCTCTCAATCTGATTGTATAATTTTTTTATTTACAAGACTTTTGAAAATTCCTGAAAATGAAGTCTGTGTACCCACACATTCACTCCACCTTGCTCCAACTATGGAGGAAGAACCAAGTTTTCTAATGTTGATTCTGTATCTTGTCCTGACAGTCCCTGGTTAGGTTACTCAAGAATCCTCTGATCTTTCTTGCCAGTGAGAACACACTCTCTCAAGCCCTACCACCTGCCAACATGGACTTTCCAGTTTAGTAATGATGTCCTGAGGAAATGAAGACCTGCAAATACTATGAATTTGCATCTGTCATCAGAACCTAGGCACAGCTCTATCATCTGTTCTGGTTACAGATTTCAAAATGCGGCCAGGTTAGTGCCATGAGAGAAGACACAGAATGGAATGAAAAACTGGTTCAGTTTTTCTCCCGGGAACTGTAAGCTAGATTGTGCTTGTTGTGAACAGAAGAGACCTGTAGCCTGCATATGATCTCCACAATTGCTCTACTACCATCACCCATGATTGTCAGAATACAGAGAGAAGCTGTGTGCCCTCACAGTTTTCTGTGGGAAACAGCTTTGTTCCCAAAGCTGAACAAACATCTGCACTCGTATGACGAAAGCAACGAGGGTTATAAGGTAGGCTGATGACAATTGTGGTAGACAGCCAAAGTGAAGGAACACCATGTAACCTTGGATTGCCCATCCCTCAGAATATACTTCTGCTCTGTTCTGGCACATATTAAGACGGAACTTTAAGAATAACAACACATAAGATACTGAACATACTGAACATGTGCTTAGCAATGGGCAAATTATATGAATTAAACATACTTTTTTTTTTACTTCTCATCTGAAATTTGTTCCTAAAAAGGAAGAATTTATATGAAACAGAGCATAGAAAATTCATTGGTAAAATATTCACAATGTCCAAATTTCTATTTTTTCAACCTTAAGTTGTGTTTTTTTTTTTTTTAAAAGCAAATACTCCAAACTTGTATTTGAGATGAACAGTGCATTGTCTGAAGAACGCTTATTTAAAGGGAAAGTGCAGTCGATGACAGTGTCCCATATGTCATCTTATTGGGCCATTCAAAACCAGGCTCTGCTTTTTCCAGCTGTGCACCAAGAAGATCAAAGCAACTGAGTCCAAGGCAGCTGCCCAGGGATGGAGTAAAGCTCCCGGGACTGCCACCACTTCCCACTGCGGAGAGTTGCCATATGGCACAGATTAGCCACAAATCCACCCACCAGCACCTACATGATGAGAGGAGCTGACTCTGCTTTCTCACACAGCAGAATGCTTTCACAAAAATATTTTGAACTTTAAGCTCTAGTGTAAGAGGAGAACATCTGGCAAATGCATAGTAAACTTAACATGTGATCTTTAATGTCCAATAACAAATTTCTTTTTCAGAACGCAGGCCATCTTATTTTGTAGATCTTTACAATGTGGCTGGATTGTTCTATTTCTGATGCAATGACTGGTGCAATCTTTCCAGCCATGCACATAAACACACACACCTATGTAAACACATGCACACAGACAGGCCCTTGAAAACAAGCCGGGTCACGACAGTTAGCTTATGACTTTCATATAAGATAAAGAAAAGGCCATTCATTTTGATTCATAGAACCATTTCATTTATGGCTCAGTAATAAAAATACAGAGAAACATTTATTTGTTCTTTTACTGCTTATGACAACTTTTACTCTAGAAACCCTGATTCCAGTCCTGTGTAAGGTTCTTCTCTTTTGATAACATAATCACAAACCCTGACATTAATTAGGATGGAAGTAAACAGTTTAGTAATTTGTGCTTTGACAAGTGAACAGCACAAATGTGACACAAAAAATTGGAAGATACTGCTGCCACTGTGGGGATCAGAACAAACAAGTCTCTGAGACACCCAGGGAGGCACACTGGTAAATGCTGAAGGTTTCAAGGCACTTCACCAGATTAGAGTCTGGCATTGTCGCACCTAGCAGAAGGTTCTCCAGGAATTCACTTTAAAAATCTCACTTTGAAATGATTTTAAGTATCTTAGATATGCCTTTAGAAAATAGTATGGAAGTTCTAAAGTTGTGGATAAAATGGAAGAACAATCTTTTCTGTGAAAGGACATATGATGTCAATAAACAGAAGAAGGAATACACAGCATCTGGAAGATTCATTAGAGTAACAAAGATCCTATACCTGTTAGAGATATAGCACCTTACAAAATACCACCACCCTCTGATGCAACAGTCAACAGTCTCTTTAAATTTATTTTTCAAGTAATATACTGTCATACAGACAGTATTATTTCAAAAGCATTAATTGGAAACATCCTATTCAGAATTTGCCACAAAAGAAACCAGGATATCAAACAATTACTTAACTTTTGTGTTTCAAAATCACAGTTGAAAGTTTGGTTTAGAAATTTAGAACACATTTCTTCTTGATTCCTTGAGAAGATATATGCAAATATCTAAAAATCATGAACATAATTTTTGAGGTAATTAATCTTGGGCATGGGTTATGCATAGGAATTCCCCTAATCTTTTTAAATTCACAAATCACCCAATGGAATCATACCATGAGAAAAATAATTCCAGAGTTCCAAGAGGAGGCAGTTTAAGGAATAGCACCTCTTCCTTACTCTCACCCTCAAGACCTTAACCTGATAAAATCTTTCAA